GCCTCAAACTGCTTTGGCTGTTGAACAGCCGGAGGACCCCGCCAGATACCGTCCCCAAGAAGAAGTACAAGAAAAACAGTTCATGTCAGTATGGAGGACTCAAGAATGGCAGGACTTTGCTCGAGCCTACAATGTCCGCACGATCCACTTCGACCAAGGACCTATGGGTCATGTGCGAAAGAAACCCACGACGTTAGCAGTGGTTCTTCGGGACATCCACGCACTGGATGGTGTTCGCGGTCCTCCCAGTGGTGCTGGCATTGAAGGTCATCAAGAGCACGGCAACATGTCTTTGAAGGAGCGTTGTGAGGCTTCCAAACAATGGGCTACATGGGCCCCAGGACTGAAAGTTGCTTTGGCCCTAGCATTACAAGACCATCTTCAACGGGGGGTGACACCATCTTTTGAAGCTGCTTTGCGCCCTCTTGGTCAAGTCGCCCTGGAAGGATGGCGGAATCACTATCTTCATGATCACATGCCAGCACGCCGTGATTGCAAGCACTGCGTCAAAGCCTCAGCAAGAAGCAAACCCCATCGTCGAATTTGCCATCCCGAAAGCTATACTTTGAGTGTCGATCTTTCTGGCAAAATGGTTGTGGGTCAAGATCAAAGCCGCCACGACTGTAAATACATGATGGCGGCGGTGTACACATTTCCGGTGGACGGAGCTGGGCGATCATTGGTGGAGTCAGTCGAATCATCAAGTGCTGACACCATGCCGCTGGTATCTGCTGATGAATACACTCCCACGGAACCTGGGGGTGAAGACCCGGGTGAGGCCTACTTGCCGGAGGAGGAGTTCGAACCGGATGGGATTCCGGGGGAGTCCGCCGTTGCTGAACAGAAGGGTCAGTCGGCATTTGCAGCTTGGCAAAAGGAGGTGGAAGCAGCACAAGATGTTCAAGTCCGCAATTTAACCTTTGTGGAGGTCCTTCCTGGCAGAGCAGTTCATCACATTCTTCCTGCACTGGCACGCATTTATGCCAGATTGAGAAGCCTGGGGCTGCCGCTGTACAGGCTTCACTGTGATAGGGCTCGAGAGCTGATCTCGGCGCCGGTTCGTCGTTGGACCTTGGATCGCGGGATTGTCACAACTTTGACAAGTGGCGACTCGTACAAATCAAATGGGCGGGTCGAAGGTGAACTGGGGGTGGTGAAGAAGCATGTCAGGACCATCGTCGCGGCCTCGGATCTTGGGTTGGAAAGCTGGCCATTGGCTGCAATCCACATCGGCGAACGGAGGCTTCGATGCCAGCTTCGGAGTTGTGGCATCCCGGTCGGCCCTCTGCTCCAGTTTGGGTCTCGGGCATACGCCCTGAACAAATCGTGGCAGGACCGCTATGAACCATGGCGGGAGATTCGTGATGAAGTGATTATTTTGGGTCCAGCCATCCAATCCTCGATGACTTCAACCAGCTACTATGTCCAATCAGTGGAAACCAAAAGGTATTTTTTCACTGATGATGTGGTGATCCCAAATCCTGACCAACCTGAAGCGGGTGATGCTTTGGCCTATCTGCCGGAGATTGATGGCGGTGGCTCTCATCCTCGGCCTCTTTGGGACGGCCAGATCCCTCGGCGCAGGCTTCGCGAGAAAACTGCGATTCCGTCATTGTCCATGCTGAACATGGAGGGGGAGCTAAGTGGCCAGGTGCAGAAATGGCTGTGCTCCCATCGTGATGCTTTTGATGTACATGCTCCAAATGATGCTGAACTCTTTCGCTCAGAATGGAGCAGCGATAGTTGGACCATCGAGACGCCATCGAACTCATCTTCGGAGGCCAGTGAACGGGACTCCCAGGGCACACAAGGTTCCGTGGCGGGGATTCGAAAGGCGGAGGGGATGCGGAGGAGGCGCCAAACAACTGGGACGGTGGCTCAAGCCCAGTGGCCTCACTAAAGCGATTCGTGCCTGGGAGGACCCCGTTCACTCGGCTTCAGTTGCTCCGTTTCGTACAAGCGAACTTGGCGGAGTATGTGAAGGAAGAAGCAGGCCATGTGGACATCACCAACCTTGAGCAGGGGTGGTACATGGGGGCTTTGTCTGAGGCCATCATGAGGAAGGTGGAGATCGAAGAACAGCTCCTCCAGAACAGCCAGGAACAAGAAGCCATCACTTGCAAAGAGCTGGAGGAAGAATTCTTGGTCACAAGGACTATGAGCAATCGAGAGGTCATGGATGACTTCGAGAACTGGATTCCAGCCATTCAAGCTGAGTACACACAGCTCGTCCAGTCCAAAGAAGCGGTGCATCAGCTTTCAAAGAAGGCACTACAAGCCAAGGCAGAAAAGGAAGGCAAAGTCATTGAACTTCTCCCTGCCAAGATGGTTTATACAAGAAAGGCAGGAGCTGGGACGAGACGGGCAAGAGCCGTATGTTGCGGCAACTACTCGGACACGAGATTCAGCCCTGACTGCTACGCTGGAGGCGCTGATGGTTGCCAAGTCCGAGCTCTCATTCGAACTGCAGCCCTGAAGTCATGGTCAGTAGCGGCTACCGACATTCGTGTCGCCTTTTTGAACGCCCCAAGAAGAGAGGACGGCAAATTGGTGGCCATGGAGATTCCCCAGGTGTACAAGCGCCTTGGCCTGGCACGTGAAGGAGAAGTTTGGTTGGTCAAACTGGCGATGTACGGATTGACCACCTCTCCACGTGATTGGTCGCAGTATCGCGACAAGACATTGCCGTGCATCAGCTGGGTCAGAATGAGGGAGGACAGAAAGGTCCGAGGCTACTTCGTGAAAACCGCCGACGAGAACTTGTGGCGGTTGGAAGAGACGGATGTGGTCTCAGGTGAGTGCCATTGGACGGGCCTGATGTCTGTATATGTGGACGACATCCTGTTGACAGGAGAAGAAGCAGCCATCTCATCGGCTCTCACCTCCTTGCAATCCACGTGGGCGACGTCAAGCGTGGAATGGGCTTCATCGCAGGACCCTGTTCACTTCTGCGGCTTTGAGATCAAGGCCGATGGAGGAGGTGATGGTTACCATCTGTCCCAACAAAAGTATGAGCAGGAGATTCTTGTCAGGTGGAATGTGAAGGAGAGCTCAACCTTTCCCAACTTCAAGATCATGGAGGAGGATTTTGGGGAGAAAGGGGAGAAGGACGCGCGCTTGATCAGAGAAGCTCAGGCAATGGCAGGTTCGCTTTTGTGGCTCTCCACCAGATCAAGGCCGGACTTGGCCATGGGGGTAGCATCAATAAGTCGGCTGATGACCAAGAACCCCAAGAAGGCGATAGAGGTCGGCCAGATGCTGCTTTCCTATGTGAAAGGCACCCCGGGAGATCTTCACTACACCGGGAAAGTGCATCAGCTATGGGGAGCCCGAGGACAGTTGAAGATCCCACGTCATGGGAAGCTCATAGAAGTGTTTGCCGACATTGCCTATGGCACGGGATCTGGACACCGCAGCATGCAAGGTCTAGCGATCTTTTTTGCCGGAGCACCCATAGCATGGCAATCTTCATCCCAGCCATTCGTGACCCACAGCACAGCAGAAGCAGAGCTTGTGTCGTACTGCGAAGCCCTGACAGCAGGACGTGCCACAGAATCCTTGCTGTGCTCTATGTGGGGGGAGAAGCTGGAAAAGAATGACACCTTTGATCGGGTGATCTACGGCGACAACGCCGCAGCGATAGCACTGGCCCATGGGAATAGCACCACATCCTGGAGGACAAGGCATCTGCGGGTCAGGTCGAACATCCTCAAGGAGGCCTTGGAGAGCGACAGTGCCTATCCAGGAGGAGCTTGGAAGTTGATGCACCTCAAGGGCACTGAGCTGGTTGCTGATGGGCTCACCAAACCGCTCCTGGGTCAAAGTTTTCACAACTTTTTATGTGATTTGGGCCTGAGGGTGGGGGGAGCTAGTGTAAGAGCGCTTGGGGCCGCTGAACATCGACCTCCTCAATTACAAGAGCAGAATAATGGCGAGGGTCGACGACAACCTCAAGTACAAGATCAGGCGGGGGCGCTTCGAGCTTTGGCGGCTGGCAGCATGTTGGTGCAGCTGGCAGAGGCCAGCTGGCAGAGGCGCAAGGGGAAGTTGAACCAGAGTCAACTTTTGGGCTCCTATGGACATGTGGTATAGTGCTGGTCATCATTGGGGCAATCTGGGTGAGCAAGTGTGCATGCACGTCCGTGCGCTGCTGTTTGCGACGATTGCATGCGGTGATCAGTGAGCCACCCGACCTGTTGGAGCTTAGTGAAGATGATGAAGGGACAACTCCTACATCACGGAGATCGAAGAGGGGAAGTTCGAGCTCACTGGCCAAACAGAAGGCCAGATCATCGCCCGTGGCAGAACATGAGGAAGCCAGCAAAGAGACGTTCAGTGATGGGATCAGAGGCCGAAGACGGTCTCGAGCCCGGAGCACTGAAGAACCTTCATCCAAACAGAGCCCTTCCTGTCAAAGAACAAGGAGACAGTCGGGCTCATCCAGTCGCTCTTCTTCAAGACCGATGAGGCGGCAATCAGATTTCTCCAGCCGCTCGTTGTCCCGGTCTAGGAGGCCATCCGCTAGCAGCGATGCCAGCGAAATCACCGCAGCTGTGTCAAGTGCTGTGGGCAGTGTGGAGAAGGCGGCGGAGAGCGCGCATGTCGCTGCCGAAGCTGCTGATCGCGCGGCCGCCAATGCAGTGAGAGCTTCACGGCTTGTGCGCCAAGCCATGGCTAAGCCAAAGGCTGCACCTCCGGCGGACCCGCATCCACAAAATCCGTGGAACAGGTTTCAAAGAGACCATGCTGGTAGAGGGTGGTCCATGGATAGGCTCCGTGCGGAGTACTTCAAGGCGAAATGCCGGAAAACTTTGCCTTGAGCCAGGGCATTTCGCACTTTTGAGCCCTAAAGTTTCGTCAATAGACGAAAGGGGGAGTCTCAAGCGGTGAGAGCATCGTTTGTACTGCACCCCGAAGGCATTTTGCTGAAGTGAAAAAGAAGAGTTTTGGTTTGAGCCTGTAATCAAAACCCACTTCAGACCCTAAGCACTCTCCCACCTCAGAATTTTGCACATGCGCATGGCGCCCCGGGCTACGTGGCGCATCCGGTGTTTGCTTTGGCCATGGCCTTTGGCGCTGGCGCTTGGGTGGAGCTTCTCAACGCCCGTGCCAACCCGTGTGCCCGTGGAACGGCGAAGCTCGTGGCTTGGAGGAAGAGATGGATGGAGGCTCATGGCATCTCATGGCTCCCAGCTCGAGGGAGGGAGCCTTTATATATAGTTGAACTTCCAAATTCCGAACAAGTTCAAGACAGTTCCGATGTGGTCTGAGGCAGTTAGAAGCCACCTTCGATGATCTCTGGACATTGCTGGCAGAACGCGAAGAGGCCAGAGTTGATGGAGTGGATTCTTGGCAAGATTTCGACCAGTGTGCTGGGAAGTCGCTTTAGGGCCCAACAGCGGAGCCTCACAAGTTTCCACTTTTAAGTTGCGGAAATGTCCAACGGGCTGCAGCCACAATGCAACCCCACCATCATTTTATGTATAATTAGACCAACTTACAACCAACACCAACGAGGACCATCGCGACCAACAATTGTAGAAAGAAAGGTGTAACAGGAAACTGCATAAGACCTCCTAAGGACACCTCCCTCCATGAGCTCTTTGCGCCCAGCCCGCGGAGTGCGTGGCAAGAGCTACAAGCGCTGGTGACGGGAAAGGACGAAAGGGATGGTGCTGCGATGGGTAGTTAAAACAAACCGGGAGAGATCCCTATAGTTAGTTTGTAAGGGTTTTCTTGTGGCGTATATGAAAAAACTATGAAGAAGGATGCAGTAACGGTACTGTTGGGCACTCAAAGCACAGGAAGGAGGGATTGTTTTGGGTCAGCCAGTTTTGCGATGTCGCGCATGCAGTTTGCAGTGCGTTCAGCTAGTTGACCTTCACAAACATATTCGGTGGAACGTTCTTAGACCTGCTTGCGGAGAGTAATGCCACTCCGCTTGGGCCGTGCCCGATTCCCAGCATGAAACACTTCCCAACAATCATCAAAATAGTTTTCCTTGCTAACATATCCGATGGGTGGTCGATGTATAGTTACCCAATCTCGTGATGCTGATAGTGCTTGAAATGCAATTGGCATCAATGCGCATTACAAGCATATTGCATTGGCAAGGTTTTCATGGGTCACTGAAGGAGGAGCCGGTGGGCTTGAACGACATGAAGTGCGTCAGTCTCAGGCATCATGGTCGCATCCTCGTCTCACAGACGAACCCATTGGCACGACCTTTTCCCAAACGGTCCAAACGCCTTCAACAATTGCTGCAGCTGTTGATCAAACCGAAGCTTTCTGCTTGAAGCCTTCATGGCCGAGGTTGGATGGTTGCATGTTTGGCCGCCTCACGCGGCATCTCCGCCAGATTGGCCTCATCGGCCCAGGCTATTCGAAGGAAGAGCCGCAGCGGTGGCACCTCATCGTATGATGCATATTGATGCATACCCTTGCGAGTCAATCCATACATTCTCTCATGCAGTTCTTCGATGTTTCTATGATGATATGAAGAACAGGTTTGGGCAAACGTTTCAGCGATTACTCATTGCTCGGAAGTCAAACACTTGACTTCTTGTTACTACTAGCGTCCTTGTTACTACTAGTAAGGCACTTGTTACTAGAAGCGATGCACTTGTTCCTAGTAGCGAACATTGTTACTCATTGCTCGGAAGGACATTGGAGAGATTATGCGCCTTTGCTGTCGCATGATGATGGACGAGTTCAAAGGTGGGAAGCACAATCGGCAGGGCTCAGGGGTATTCCACAGCATGGGGTAGCAGCATTTCCTCCTTGTTTAATGCTTTTCTCGCGGGAGTGGGGGCAGGCAGGTTCGTTGAGACTGCCAACCGGGAGGGCGGTTTCAGGAGATGCGACATGGATGAGCAAGGTCTTTGACACATGGGATGTGAGCTCTCACTCGGGTGAAACACCTGTTCTCCCCATTTGAGTTTGAGCAGTGGACCAGTCATGGGGGTTGAGATGGGAAGAAGACAGCATGAGGGCTTTTGGAAGTGCGCAAGACACCGATCCGAATGGGAACTGTCAGAAAATCAGCCGGACATTGTGAGGACTGGTCAGTCAAACGCTACATGCGAACTTGCCATGACTCGGGCCGCCATGGGATATATTGGGATGCTATGGGGCGCACCTCCAGGAAACGTCGCCTACACCCACAGCGATGAGATGACCATCCTGATGTTTCCGCACAAAATGGGCCGCCGCTTTGATCTTCAGCGGAGTTGGGTGACCATCACAAAAGATATGTGCGAGCAAAGTGCCTGCCATGTCACCGTTGAACGTGTCGGCTTTGTGATTAGCCTGGCATGAGTAGATCCAGCACAACCGCAAACACTCAGCTGCTGTCAACCCCATTCCACTGAGGACCAGGGAACAGCTTTCAGTGGCCTCACAATGGCCGCATTCAGAAATGGGTGAGCAGCCAGACCGCAAGAGGTTTCTGGTGATGGAGCTGGTGGCGCGCTTGGGGTGCCAGTGACGTCCAACAGTCTTGAGCCCAGAGCTGCCACCGCAGCCGGGTTATGGCGGGCTTGCCTGTGCCCTCCTGTTTCCTAGCGACATCGGTTGGACATGGTTGAACCACTGCGCTATGATAAGAACAAGGCCTCTATTTGTGCCAGCTTGTAGGGCCACTGTACGACAATGCATGATGGCCGCTAGACATTTGATATATGTATAGCAATCCTGAAGTACATAGAATACGGAATTGGAGGTCCAAACCCTACATGGGCATCTTCCGGAATTGAAACCGAAACGGGTACTTGGAATACAAAAACATCTTCCGGAATTGAACCAAAAAAAGTACTTGGAATCTCGTGGATTGTGAACACTTGACATCTTCAGGACCTTTGTATCAGTAACCTCTTGTTGCAGCCATTCTTGCTTGACAAACGCCTAAGGGGTTAGAACGTTCATGTTTATGCTGATTGAACATCTACTTTGTCAAACTACTTCTCTATGCTTTGTACATCGTCCTCAGGCGGGAACGCAAGCGGGACCGAGCGGGAGCGACCTTCACTGCGCTCCGTCCGAGGCATCGGCTCCAGCATGGTCACTGCGCTCTTCAACCGCCAGCTTAGTCAGCTGGCTGAGGCGCTGGTGTGAAGGGGACGAGGGCGGGCGCCCTTTTTCGAGGGCGAAGAAAGATCCCCGGTGCTTGGAGTTTGGAAGTCCAGAACTCCGAAAGGGCACTACTTGGAGTTTGGAGGGGCCTGAGTTCAGCTTGAGGGCCTTCAAATAGCTTAAAGATTGCTGATGGAATCGCAGGGAAGCTGGTGCAGAATGTTGGAGCGACAACCGCGTGTGAGGCACGTGGCATCACGCTGCCGACGGATATCGTCGCCCATTTTGACTGTCGGGTCGGGCTCTTCGACTCCGATGCTTGGACGGGAAATGATGCGAACACCAAGCTGGAGATCACCGCATGTTGAGACATACTCATCTTGGTGTCAGTGCTCACATGTTTAATTGGGTCATGTAGTGTCATGTAGTAATTTCTTGATGGTGCACCTAAATCAGCACTTGGAGAAGAGCAGGCGGCTGTGGCTCCAAAACATCGGTTTGTTGATGTCCATGTTACCCCATGATACCCCATGCATTGTGTTTTTTCCTTTTTAGTTTAGCCACCGCAATTTCGGGCCGGGGTGTGCGGACCATGTAGGAGTGATGTTGGTCTCGAGCTCGCTGGTGCTGCGCTGTGAACAAGCTACCGCCTTTTGTTCTCCAAACCTGTATGTGGTACCAACTGTGAGACTGCTCTGGAAGCGCGGTCGCAAAACAACAAGTGGAGACTTGTGGGGAAAAAGAGGTGCAACGTTTCATCCTGATATACCTCATTGCAAGGGTCTTCCCGGATCAGTGCATAGTTGAAAACCACAGAGGGCTGCAGTGGGGATCGTTAAAGGAGTATATTTGCTTTTGTAAGTGTCTGCTCGAGGAGAAGGAAGCCCTGTCTTTGCTCCTGTGGCGAGCCTATGACTGCAGCGTGAACTGCGTTCAAGATGCATGTTGCTGGGCGCCCAACGGAAAAAGCTTGGGCATACCCTTTGTTGCCTAAGTCCGAAAAAGTGTTTAAAAAGGGTTGCCAAATTCAACTGTTGGTGAAACTTGTTGTCGTCAGGTTTGGCAATTTGTCACAAAATGTCATGTGAATCAAGTAAAGATTGCCAGTCTAAAAGTACTGAGAAACCCAATATGTGTGTTGAAACGGTCCCTCATAGGTCAAGGGGGTTCATGAAACACCCATCGCGGGCCGAGATATGGGGATATATAGATATATGTTTTATATGATATATGTCCAACTCTGAGTGTAAGCTCGATATTTGACCAACAGAAAACTGCAAACTGATGTGAGGCCATCATCAGGGTGCTCCCCTCGAAGTTGTCCGGAGCGAGACTTGTCTTGCCCGAAGCTCCGGGGATGAACTTGTATTTGATATGCTTTCAATTTTATCCTGTTGATCCCAAATTGGTGCCTTTGATCATGTTTGACACAGTTCATCACAGCCCACTGATCCAAGATTATGCTCCCATTTTTGTTGTCCTTCTTTCATGGCTTGCGCAGAAGTGCCACGGGGACAGTCGACGGAAGAATGTTCCTGCACCAGCTGGGAGCCGCAAGACAACTCTTTGTGCTGGTTTGCTTTACGTATCCAACCAATTATAGATATATAGAATTTTCATGAATTTTCACAACTTGTTATCAACATGTCTAATTTGTCTCTTAATAGTTTATTTCCGGGTGGTTGTAGCAGATGGGGGCGCTTTTGGGGTATGTCAGGCATCTATGTATCAAAAGAAAACTACTCGCATGGAACGTGGAGATTCCACTGCTCCTAACTGTAGAACTTTGAACCTCGTTGGATGCTGCCTACCTGCTTCGCTTAAATGGCAGTTGGGCTCGTTTCCCATCAGAAGCAGTTGAACAAATCAGTGCTCACGGAGTGCTACCAGGATTTCGCGAAGAAGCTGCTGTGGCTGAAGGAGGCGAAGCTGCTGCCATTGGATCCTCATCAGGCGTTGTGGCCTCAGATCCATGTGGGGGAACTGATGGGAACTGTAGATATGTTCCAGATCAGTGGAATGACAACAAGGTGAAGGTCAAGCCTTCGCGGAAATTGTGCACGACCATGACTTGAAGCTTGACCCGCAAACCATGCAGCTCAGGTATGGCAGCATGTTTGTGAAGGGTGAGGGCACGTTCAAAGTCAACGTGAGTGACACCAACCAGACAGTCATTGTGAAGCGAAAGGCTGGGGCTGTGGGAGCTTGACGGTGCTTCCTGGTAGTGATGGGCCCGGGACTGCCCCAGAGCCATTTAACATCACCTTGTCGCTGAGCTTTGGTACCTGGTGCACGCTGTTTGTGCTTCGGGCTAGCCCATGGGGCGTGGTCTGCCGCCTGCAAGGTTCTGCCTGGGCCTGCAGTGCATTCGCCCCGAAAACTGCTGGATGTTTGGATCACCCAAACGAGCCGTCAGGTCCTGCAGGCCTTGTCCCCCCCAATCACCTGCAGCATTTGGGGCTCAAGCCGTGCGCTGCCATAAGCTGAGACTCGTGAAGCATTTTCCCACCATGTCCAGCCTCTTAGCCTAGAAAAGGTACATGTGAGAGAACCTAGTCTTGGTTGCTCTTGCTTTGTTGAAGGACCCTTTGTTCATAGGCCCCCACGACGCCTCACTTGACTAACTTGAGGGCCCAATTGGTGGTTGTCATTGTGTTTCCCAACTTTCCTTTGAACAGAGTGGTTTTCGGGGGTGCGAAGGGATCAGCAAACCAGATAAGAATTACTGCTCCAGACCAAGAAGGCCTCACAGACAGACATACGATAGACATACGCACAGAGAGAGAGAGAGAGAGAAGTGATATAGGTATACAGGTATACATACATCAAATAGTTTGGATGCCAGCCAGTGATGCACACCTTAATGGAAAATTGGACCGCTTCGGATTTGTGCAGCGTTGCCCGCTGCCCATTTTCACGTGTCATGCTGAGGCTTTGACGCCGAGTGCCGCACAGCTGTGCCAGAGTCAGTACGCCATGCCTTGTTTTTGAAGGAGGAGATCCCTGCAGAGAGCAAAAGACATGGCATGAGTCGGGAATTTATCTGGAACACCTGGACAGATGCAATTCTTCATCATGAATACGTTCTTCCCTTGCTGGTGTTGCGCCAGGAGATTGCAAAAATGTCCACAGATCGTTCAGAGGAAAGCAAGCAGGCGGAGCAGAAGGGTGGCTCCTTGGAAAGGTGGCAGGGCCCGTACTGGTGGAGGTCCCTAAGGGATGGCAAGAGTCTTGGCTCAGAATGTCAAGAGTTTGTTTGATGTTTGGTCTTCCGCCAAAATGTTTCCTTCATTTTGGCCAATCCCAGGAGTGGACTTGTACCGCGTCCCTGAAGAGAGTCACCTGCGCTGGGCGATGAGTGACTTGTACAGCTTCCGGGGCTCGATTCAGCAGGGCTCTCCCTCTGTGTTTTGCCGACCCATCAACCACACATTCCAGGCCCCGGCACTTGGCTTTCTCAGCATCAACCGACAAGTGATGCAAACGCAATAGCCCTGCTGAGAATCACTTGATCCGCTTCCATGGAGGAACCATTCATCCGCTTCAGGCATCCGAAGGCAACTTTGGGATGCCCAGAGTTTTCGTGCTCATTTCAGCAGCAATGGGAAAGCACTGCATGTGGACAGAACGCAAGTTGAGGGAGTTCCGTTTGTTTGGCCATGCCGTATCCTCACCGATATATATATATATATACCCGCCATCTATATAAACGTCATGAGTTTGGATAATTTTAGGGGTCTCGTTGAGGGAGAGAGAGAGAGAGGGGAGAGAGAGCTTCATTTGTAGATTCACCGTGGCGTGCTTGGTTGGCTTGCCTTGATCCTGGATCACCACGTGCTTGCGTTGTTGCGCCATGGGCCTGAGTACAGTCAATCATGTCATATACGCTCCCCTCAGTATGATATGACACAGCTACGTGCAAGGATCATTCAATGATTGGCGGCAGATGCACCAGTTGAGAGGAGCGAAAGGATTCATGGTTCATCTTCCAAACCTTGGTTGGATTGGCATGAGCAGTTCTATGGAATCGTTCCTTTTGTCGAGGGACGGATTCCGCCGGACCGCTGGAGTCGCAGAATTCAATGTGAAGGTGGTATGGGCATTGCGTGGTATGGGCGGTGTTTGTTTGGTTCATGTGAATGTCCCTGACAGCTGCAGAAACACATCCGAGTGACAGTCGGTTTTGGTGCTGTGTTGGGTGTTCGCCCAAAGGCTAGGGGCAATGCCCACCAGAAGTGGCCCCGAGATCGCTCATGGGAGGCGGATGGGTAACAAAGGGCACATTGAACCATGACTCATATCAATACACGGGTATACACCGATCAATTTTTGCTCACACAACCCAACATGCTTCCAGCTGACGTATCGCTTTTGGAAGTTGCTATGAGGGCTTTGCAGCCAAATTGCCCAGAGTGACCTCTAGAGATCTTTTGACTCGGGCTTTCCCCTCCCTTGTCCCATCCAGCCACCCCATGTACAAAGCTTTCTTTCACCCATGGCTGTCGTCACAGCCCACGGGGGATTTGGGGAGCTGAGCTTTTGGAAGAGTCAAGTCAAGTCAGATATTCCAATTCCATGGCGACCGAGCGCTTGCCAGGTTGAACATGTTCAAGACTCAAGCCGGTAGGGGTGTACAACCAGGATTTTTTCTTTTTGTGGATTGGCTGGCTGAGATCCTTTGAGCCGTAGACTTCAGCGGGTTCTTAGTCGACTCATCACCGCTGTTTTGAGAACTCCGATTGGACTCCTCGACTCATTCTAAGAAGATTATACTTCATTTCCAAAGTGCCTTGGCACGGAAACTGGGAGTAGAACACTCTTGGCACTACTCTTGGCATTTTCTGGTCCTACTGGTAGGACACGAGAGCGCGGGACACATGTCTTGACCCTTGGGTCAGAGCCGGCACCCCGACTGCATGTGGCGAATCTCTCGGGCATAACGCATCTGGCTGAAGAAGCTGCTTCAGCGAGGCTTGAAGACGCCTTGATCTAGGCAGGTCTCTTTTGACAGAGCCACCCTTCACTTGAGGCATGGTCAAAGTTCCCAATAAGATTGGAGATTGGAGAGCAACAATTTCACGAAAGACTGGGCAGTTTTTGCAAAAACTTGTGAAACATGGCAACTGACGTAAGGCTGTTTCTGCGACAAGTGGACAATGTGTTTGAACACTGACGATTTCTTGTTGCAAGACAATACTGTAATCACCTTTGACCATTCTTCTTTCGGAATGAGACTTCCATGCGCTGGCTGGAAACAAGTCTTGCTATAGCTTTAAGATCTATACTGCTATATAACTATATATTATATAGGTAGTACTCTTTGCCATATCAAATCCATCCATTGATCCTGGTGATGAATCCCGATGGCCGAATGACCTTTGATTGGCACCCTGCCCCTGCGCACAATTCGTGCAACGTCACATGTTATCACTAGTGTAAGAGCTGGGTGTTTCTGCAGTCAATAGAAAATGCAATTGAATACCTTAAGAAGCAGGCCAGCACGGGGGCTTGAGGCTATTCTTGTGCGTCAACTCATGTTGTATCAATTTTATGTTATATATATAACTCAATAGTTGGATGGTTTCACTTAATGCTTTACCGATGGAGCATGCTGGAGCGATTTTTCGGCTCAAGCAGCGTTTGCGGCTCCGCACTTTTTTCGCCTGCAAGGTCCTCGCAAGAAGCGTAACCATGTCAAGCCCCTTGACTCTCATTTCAACGCTTTGACAGCCAAGACATTGCCCAAACCTGCTGTGTCTCATGCTGGTGGTTTTGACTTAGCTTGGGCCATGTCTCAACCTCAGGTCCCATTTTGTGGTCTTTCTCCATGGTCGGTGTTCTTTACAGATTGTTTTCTCAGAGTTTGACTCTAACCAGGAGAGAGGCCAGTGTCTTGCCCCAGGAAAATTTGTTTGCAGCTTCTAATCCCCAATGAGGCTAAGTTTTGTCGTCAATGTTTCCGGTCACCAAGTTTGCTCTGGTTTTTGTGAGCTAATGATGCCCACCACCTCCTGTTGTCATCGCAGATTATATATTGAAGACTTGGCACACCACTCTCTGACTTGGAATGACTGTCCAGGCACCGATGCTGAGTGCCGCACCGCTGTGCCAGAGTCAGTACGCTACGCCCTGTTTTTGCAAGAGGAGATGAGGGACTTGCGCCGAGAGCGACCTTTGCATGAGGGTCAAAAACAGGGGGACCCTCGTTTTCACCACCCAAGGTTTCACCACCCTTTTCAGGCCGTACTGGGTGCCTTGCCCCACCAGAATGAATGGAATTCACTTTGAGGGATGTTAAACTATATAGTTATACTGCTGGTTTGGTAAGCGCCCGGCTTCACCTCACCATTCGTTCCAAGATACTGCACATTCTGCATCAATCATAGGTCCAGTTGCAGTTGATTCATTTGGGACTTAGATGGACTTAGCTTTAAAATTTCTGAGCGACATTTTTGGGCATCGGACAGTGTCCACCCTTCCTGTCTATCATGGTCCTTTCTTCTATTTGAAGCCTTACTTAGCTCCCTGACTAAACCGTCGCCTTCTACGTACTTGAAAATACTCTACTCATGTCTTCTATCTTAGTTGTCCGTAGTAGTGAAGTAAATATATATATATATTTCAAGGCTTACGCCTAACAGCCGGGCGCCGGCCCACTTGGGTGTGTGGGGGGGGCGTATGTCACGCCTATGTTGGCCTTAGTGGGGCCTATATTGAGCAAAGTTAAGCTATCTGGTGCGCATCTTGGCCCTAGGTGGGGCCCATGTGGTGTATGTTGGGCACATCTTGGGCCCATGTTGAGCCTATGTTGGGCCTATGTTGGCCTATGTTAGGCCTATGTTGGCCTGGGTTGGGCCTATGTTGGGCCTATGTTGGCGGATGTTGGCCTCATGTTGGCCTATGTTGGCTCTAGCTGAGCCATCTTGGAGGCTATGTTGGGCATATGTTGGGGATATGTTGGCTATCTTGGGCCTATGTTGGGGCGATTTATGTTGAAAAAAATCTGCCGATGCAACTTTTTACGACTTTTTCCTTCCCGCAAAGCAAAAACCATGAAAAAACCTAGGTTTTTTGACATCGCCAAGATGAAATTCTCGGCTGCCGAGGGGCCCAAAACCCTGTAAAACACAGTGTTTTTTATACCTCACACACACACGATACACTGTAAATTACAGGGGCTTCAGTGACCCGGTGGTCCCCCCGTTTTGGGACCGAGGGTCGGCGGCAGCCGGCGCGCCCGTCTATAACCTTCGGTTACCACCGAAGGCCCTCCGGGCAGGGCACGGGCTTCGTGGCCGGCGCCCGGATTTACCAGGCTACCGCCTGCAGCCGCCGACCCCCAAGGGATAGAACCTTAGCGCTTAAGCCTTAGCCTTAGCCTTAAGAGTGCAGACCCAACCCAGCACCACCAAAGGTACCCAAAAAGTCGACTTTTTGGGTACTTCCCAGATTTACCATCGGACGTCAGCTCTTGCATGAACCCCGATCATTGCCCAAGAATTTAGACCCAACCCTTCACCACCAAAGCAGGTACCGAAAAAGTCGACTTTTTGGGTACCTCCCAGGTTTACCATCGGACGTCATCTCTTGCATGAACCCCGTAATGCTGAACCCTCGTCCCCATAAAGGATATCATTGCCCAAGAATTTAGACCCAACCCAGCACCACCAAAGCAGGTACCCGAAAAGACAAAGCCTAGAGCATTCCTAGGAAAGTGCAAGAAAAGCCTTTGAACATCTCATATACCAACAGAAAACGTGACAAAATCTACGAAAAAGCAAGGGCATTGGCCGGGACCATGCCGCGACCAGCCCGGGATTCGAGCCCAGGACCATTTTGGACCGTGCTTATTTTCCCGCGCGGGTCGAGAGGGTGCCCCAAGATGTAAATCAATTGGGATGGCAGAATCTTGGACAATCCACGGGTCAATCAGGTAGCTTTCCTGGAAAATTTTCGTCGCTTTTAGGGCCGGATTTCGTCACTGCAACAAGGGTCCGGAGGGGTAGGGGAGGTAAGGTCTAGGTCTAGGTCTAAGGCTAAGGACTAGGTCTAAGGCTAAGGCTAACATCGACAGTCACGCCTCACCCCACGGTGTGGGGTCGGCGGATATACAATATATATATAATTATATATATATACATGTGTGTGTGTGTGTTTCCATGAAGTGCTGCGCCAGGAGATTGCAAAAATGTCCACAGACCGTTCAGAGGAGAGCAAGCAGTCGGAGCAGAAGGGTGGCTCCTTGGAAAGGTGGCAGGGCCCGTACTGGTGGAAGTCCTTGAAGGAGAGCAAGAATCTTGGCGCAGATCATATAGGTGGCAAATTTGACATGTTTGAAACTTTACTCGTATCTTTGACGACCTGACACGGTGTTTAGGGACAGGGGTTCTTCGATTTTGACGTGTCTCATGCTGTAGGTCTTTGTGCAAAATCATGCAATGCTATACTTCCCAGATTGCATCCTGCCAAGAGGCCTCGACTACTTGATTGGAGGGGCATCCAAACACACGCACCATGGGAAGGCTTTCAATCCACAACACCGGCTGAGCTCCGTGAATTGGAGGGTAAGTGGGCTCAACGCAAAGGTCCAGATCGCATCGTGACACCATGCTTTGCCATGCTTTGCCTGACTCCTTGACAACCCAAGGACTGGATTTGCTCAGCGCCATTGAGGACTTGAAGCAAACCCGGGGCAACACCTGTGGAGCGAGGGTTCATTTCCATACTCAGCCTTCAAACCTGCTACAGTTGGTGTTCTGAAAATCCGGGGCCATTGGTTTCTTTCTGGTTTTTGTTTTTTCTTGGGCGAAGGGCATTACTACTAGTGGCTAGAAGCTACTAGGAACAATAGATTATCCCTGGTGTTATCAAGCTTGGCGTTCGGGATGGATGTGCCAGCCTTGATTTGTCGGGTCAACCCATGAATTGTTGGGCAGGGGATGGAAAACTCGCCTGAAACGCCTCGTGCGTTTCTGAGAGATGTTCTTCGTACCAATGCAGTGGGTTATGCCGCATATGCCCTGCTCCACAGGGACCCCCTAAATGAGCCAGATGCTCTTTTGACTGTACAGATTGATTTGAAGCCGTCGCTTCTTGCTCGAATTCAGCCCGTTGAGCCACATGAGTGATCCATCCGGCGGCAATCAAATACCTGTCATGGATGCCGGAAAAGCACATCACCCTTGCTGCCATTTTGACGCAGCATCCGCAAAGCAGGCGCGAGCTGGGTAGGACAGGCAGGAATGTGACAAGTGTAGCGAAGAGTCTTGTAAATGTTGGGCTATATATAGTATGGGTTTGAACTGGTTCGAAGGACTTCAGCTAGCTAATGAGCATTGATGAGCTAATGGCTAGCTGAGTGACGTTCAATTGTCCGATCAGACCAAGTAGGTTTGCATTTTTTGAGGCTGTTGTTTTTGTGTGCTTCCGCACACCGTACCTGTGTTCGCGCAGCTGGATTGAGGCCAGATCATCCTCGACCTCACTGTAAACTTCCAAGAAGCACTAACCCGAACAGGAAAATTGATCTTTCAATCCATGTGCCTTTTTGCTTGTTATTGAAGAACTTCTAATATAGCTCCCCCTATAGCCTATAGTTCGTTCAGCATTCTAGGTCTCACATGTTTTCGTCGGTGCTTTGGGGCAGAATGTCCACTTGCAGGCTCTTGAGGCATTGCCTGCAGTATGGGATCTTGTTTGTCTTGACCTTGGCCCAGGGCCATCTAACATCTAACTCATAATTATGCTGTAACAGTAGCCACCATGGAATCTTCAGCTTTTCCTTTATCCTTTCTTTTGGGGCAGCTTTTGCTGGCCCACGACGCGAGAGCGTCGGCTGGCGGTGCGGTGGGTGTGGGTGGAGGGCCGCTCGGCTTGGCAAGGCTATGAATGATCTGGATCTCAAGCACAGGACAAACGCTTCACTGAACATAGGTTCGCTACTAGGAGCAAAGGGCATCACTACTAGGAGCAAGGACGCTACATGTGTCACTGATCCAACCCGATCCCAAAAAGGATGTGTGGATGGTATAACCTGCGACAGGTACGGAACATGGAAGCCCCTAAAACGCCAATTGTCAGAGAACCCCATCATATCTGAGGTCAGATATCGTCGGTGTACCAATGGTCCAACTTTAGTCACATTAAAATGACCCACTGGGAGTGCGGAAGTCATTCGCTGAGATCAGAGAGGAAGGTGTGTTCTCCTAGCTAGTCAGTGGTCCACGTTTTCCTTTTTTCGATTCGTTGGAGATGGTTTTCCTAAGCACAGGGAAATCTATGAGAAACAAACACGTTATGAATATTAATAAATACTTGTATATAATAGGTTTCGATGACTCTATATGACCCATAGAAAATGCTGAACCCTTCAAGGCGTTGAAGTCCCAATGATGGTCAGTGGTCTTTCTTCCCATTGAAAACAATGAGTTTGATTGATTTGACACTAAAAACGGGATTTGTTGTACCCTCAATGTACGTGGCTGCGGAGTACCTCCCTTCATTCAAGTTTGCTATGATCAGGTTAAACCGATGAAACCCTGTCAATGTTTTTCTTCAACAGCCCCCTCCACAAGAGCCTAGCAGCCTAGCAAGAGTCCTTTAATGAAATCAAATCGATTACACTGTGACCTGAAGGACAACTGCCCGTCACTGCGCAAATGTCATTTCATGATCAGACAAGCCAATGGATCAGTTCGGTTCCCATTCACCTGCTGAATTGCTTTGTAGAACTCCTCCACCAAATATGGCAGCATTGGTGGATCCAGATCAACGTAAAGGCGTTTCTTTTGGGGATGAAGTGGCAGGCCATGTTCGAGAGACTCCAAAGACATCCGAAGATTCCGAAGGTGCAAGAGTGTCACAGTGAAGCTCAGACGGACAGGCAGCAATTGGCAAATTCAAGCAAGTGGATGACTTCACTCCTGGTCCTATGTATTTGAGGGGAGGTTTGTGAAATTTGCTTGCCTCGTGTTGCCTCTAGTTTCACGATTTCCCAGGTGTGTTTCGTTCAAAGTGTGCGTTTGGAAATCTTTCCATGTATGGGCCATGTGTAACAATCAGCAAGTGCAAGGCATTAAATTCAACTAGATCACCCTCGACTCGATGTAGTCAATAACAAAAATCACTGTCACCCAAGGTCAATGACTTGTCGTTGTTTAAGTTTTGCCTTCGTGCAGGTCAATTGGGTGACCCCATTTTGGTGTTCTGGATAAGTCCCAACCCAGTGCAACCAGAGCCTCTTTTAACAGATCCCACATCGGGCCAAGATTCGGGTCACTAAAACCAGGATCCAGTACTCAAGAGAGCAATTGTGCTAACCAGTGTGAAGATCTTGGGCACATGGTTACCAGTGACCAGGTGCAGAATTCTGGTCCGTCCACCTTATGGTATTGTGATCGCACAAAAATGGAACTTCTTTGGGGGGGCATGAATTTCTCAAGCCATTGTGCAGCTTTGGACCACTTGACTTAACCCTGCACGTGTTCTGATATGTTCTGATGTTAAATTTTATCGAACGGACAGTGCTCGGAGGTGGCCTGGCTGATTTTGCTCGAGAAGGCACTAAGATGCCATTGAGCGATTTCTTTTGACAGACCCAGGCCATTAGACTCGAATGACCCAGCCCAGATGATTGGCGGTTCAAAAGAGCGGACAAGCCGAGCGGTGACAAGCGCACTTCGACACTTCAAATCAGCATGTTGCCTCCAGATGTATTCCCCGCCATATGCCCCAAATAGCATGTTTGTTCATGCATTTGCCGCGCTCCTAATTTTTTTGGGGACCCCTGAATTGATCACGTGGAACACCTGCTAGAGACAGACATGAGGTCGTTTCGGCAAGTGTGCACTGGCCGTGAGCGGACAACACGGATGACCACGGCATTTGAGGCCAATTGAACTTTTGCTACGTCATGGTAGCTTTTTGAATCGTTTGGTCTCCCCATGTGACGTTCATGGTCCCGTCGGATCAGGACACGTGCCATGTGCCTTGAACTCCGACATGTGACACTTGTGTGACTCTTGTGTGCATGCGGCGTGCCATGTGGTGCTAGCGTTCATTTGCACAGGTGAACATCCATGTGAACGACGGCGCTGAGGGCCCTCGGAACCTGTTGCTGTTGCCTCGGCGTCGGCAGGCACTGGTGCCCGAGGAGCTCCACCGGGCGCATGGGGCTGGAAGATGTTGAAAGCAGGAATGGGTTTGAGCTGGAACATGGAATTGATACGATGACTATATACTTCCAACATCTTCCAATTAGTTGACCAATTGTTGACCACAGAGTTGATCCCAGTGCTTCCTGGCTTCAGGAGGGCGACCGGCGTTTGCAGCTGCGTGCTGGCAGCTATTGGCGCTATGTGGGGCCCTCGGGCACCGTGGAGGTGCAGGCGTCATGGCACCGAGGAGGGGGGTTGAAAAGGGATGGATAAGAATGCTCCTAGTAGCGATGCCAGGAGCCCCTAGTAGCGATCGCAGCGTACAATCAAATGTTGAAGTCGTGGCAATTTTCTATGTTTGAAGCGTTTCCATTGGGGATTGAATGTGTGGAAGTCGTGGCGATGTCACGTTTGGTTCGGGAGAAGACAAGGCAGCAGCGGCAAACAAAATGCCGATCAAGCAAAACGCCGATCGCACAGCTTCCATGCCAGAAGCTCGTTGACAAATGTGCTTCGAAAGGGGTTTCAGAACACATCAAAAACGTTGCCAAATCATTGCGTTTCTATGCTGGAAGCTGACTTTTGCAAGGACTATGCCGGGACCCCCCTCCTGGCATCGCGCTTCCATTGGGGAACACAACTTTTTCCATCCCCCTTGCACAGGTCCTTATGAAATGGGGATCCTGGTGACCTATAAAATAACTTTTCCAGGACTTACTTCATAAAAAGCACAATGTTTCCGGAAATCGGAATTTGGAAAAAACGCCTATGCATCTTGTCTCGTCATTTCATAAAAAGGTCGGTTTGGCTCCTGTGTACATTTTATAAACAGTGAATTCTTTTTAACATACAGACAGCTGGATGTTGGTTGCTCATTCTATAAACAAGTAATGGTGTGAGAGAATAGAACCATTTTATGATTAAAGGTTTATTAACTGGGTTTTGACATGTTTGCCAATGGATTTAATAGTCCTTGGCAGGGGAAAGCTATTTTATAAACCATTCCCTCTGCCAAAGAGCTGGAGGGTGTGGACAAATACAATGGGCCTTGGCAGGGAAAATTATCTATAAAATGGTTTGCCATCTATTTCCTGGGAGGGTGTGGACAAATACGATGGGCCTTGGGAGGGGGAAAACAGTTTATAAAATGGGTTTACCAGCTTTTCCCCGGGAGGGTGTGGACAAATACGATGGGCTTTGGGAGGTGAAAATGTTTATAAAATGGGTTCACCATCTTTTCCCTGGGAGGGTGTGCGCAAATACGATGGGCAGGGTGAGGTTTATAAAATGAGGCGATCCAACCTCCGCGCGTTTTGGGTCACTATTTTTGCGCTGTGGTTGGCTCCCTTACAATAGTGGCTCTACAACCAAGGTTTCTCGTACATACCTGGGTTTGCATGGGCCTATCACACCATAATGAGCCGTTTGTGGTATAGCCGTATAGTGGCTATAGGCTCCCTGTAGGTAAATCCTATGCAGGACTAGTTTCTGTGAATTCTGCTTGAAGAAGAATCACGCTCAAAACATCTCAAAAGAATGAAAGTCAACTTTTAAAAAAGTAAACATAGAAACAACTGCGCAATTTAAGACAAGTGATAGCAACCGAATGCAATCATCTCAACAAACTTGCATGCAAAAACATGTGAAACACAACAATGCCAAAAGGAAAACACTGCACACATAAATATGTTCATTGATGTTCATTGAGCATTTTAACATGATTTCGTGTGCTGATCAAAACCTGAGCATTCACCATGTGCCACATTCAAGTTGTGCATTGTCTTTGGCAGGGGAAATGATGGGAAATGGATAGAAATGTTTTGATTCGGTTGCTATCACTTGCCTTAAATTGCACAGTTGCTCCCTTGTTTTGATATTAAAGTTGACTTTCATTCTTTTGAGGTGTTTCGAGTGAATTCTTCTTCACAAAGAGTTAACAGAAACTAGTCCTGCATAGGATTTGCCTACATGGAGCCTATAGCCACTATAGTGCTATACCATCAATGGCTCATTATAGTGTGCTAGTCCCATGCAGGCTCCCATGGCTTTAGACTTATAGTCTTATAGTGCGTATAGTGGACACAACCACAGCAAGATGTTGGTTGAGCATTCATCCATAACATGGACCATGTTCAGATCAAAATGATCACCGGCTCATGGAAAACCATTCCATAAAAAAAGGCGTCTGCGGATTTTCATTTTTTTTGCTCTTGTATGTTGTCTCGTCATTATATAAAAAGGTCGGATTCTAATTTTATAAAGAGGTCGGATTCTCATTTTATAAAGCAGCAACCTGGTGGATTCCATTTTATAAATGATGTTTCTTTACAAATCAAATCCCTCACCCCAGAGACCTCCACAAAGAGGATCTTTTCCCAACTATACTGGTGTGCACTATTTTGGAAGAAATGGTCTGCACCAAGAAGT